GGCGGGGGCGGCGGCGAGACGGGGTCCAGAGGACTTGGCCTTCGTAGGGCCCGCCCTAACTTGCCTTCTCTCGCGGCCCCTGCAGCTGGAGGCAGGGCATGCCTTACCGGGTGGCTTAGTGCGTTCCGGCTGCTGTGACAGCGTGGTACAGTCTGGCTGGCTTATAAACACCAGAAATGTATTTCTTCTCCCCATCTGGAGGCGAGGAATTCCAAGACCCGGGTGCCAGCATTCTTTTGGAGTGTGGTGAGAGCCCACTCCTTGGGTTGTGAACAATCACCCTTCACCGGGAGCTCACGTGGGGGAGGGGGCTAGGGCGCCCTCTAGAGGCTCCTACGGGCGCTAGTTCCCTGTGTGGGAGCTCCGCCCTCATGCCCTTAGCACCTCCCGGAGACCCCACCTCCCAATACCGTCACACTGGGGCTTAGATTTCCACGTGAAATTGGCGGGGACACGAACCTTTGGTCTATGGCCAAGGGCACCCACTTGTGGAGGGGAGGACACGCAAACATTCGGAAGACACCAGTCTGTCCTCAAGGGGGCTCCTGTTTCCATGGGAAGAACGTGGGTCAGGCAGCCTCGGCCGGCCACGTTCAGATCCCACCTTCACCCCTCCCCTGCGCCGCGGCCCTGGGCCACTCCTCCAAGCTTTGCTTTCTCCCGTTGAAAACGGGAAGAATAAGGCTGACAGGTCAGATGTGCTGGGCCAATTAGGTAGAGAAATAAATACGGGGTGTCTGGTACATGGTAGGCAGTCCATAAAAGTCACATTATAACACACACATCTCCCCTTACAGAGTGGGAAGAAGACAGATAGAGGCACCGTTTATACATACAAAGAAGGTAGGGATGAAAGCAGTGCCAAAGGGGCTGGGCCGGGCGGGCCTCGAATGCCAACCTAGGGCACGTGACCCTGTGTGTGTGTGGGGGGAGGGGGGGTAGCCAATGAGGGTTTCTGAGCCAGGGAGGGTCACAGACAGAGCTTCCTTGTAGGAGGAAGATCACGCTGGCAGCCAGGAAATGGGAGAAGATAGAAGGAAGAAAATTTCGATCTCCTCCTTGCCGTCCCTGAGATGTAGCTTCTCACGCCCCCCTCCCCAGCCCCTGAGACCTGCCCTGCAGCCTGGGTACCTAGGACTTTGCTTTCAGACGGGGTTCCTGACAGTCTTGATCTGTTCCTCAGGACCACTAAGTATTTCCAGGTTTGGCCGTGTTAACGATGAGCATCTTGCCAAGCCAGCCAATCAGACAGCAACGTCTTGGAGGGAGAGAGTCTCTTTCCAAGTCCCCTGCCTTTGTCCTGGAACGGAGCCTGATTCCTTCTGGAGGCAGTGGGTGGAGAGAGGCAGAAAAGGAGCAGGACTCGGCTCGCTGGGCTTGGCTGTCATCCTGGGAACCTGGGATTTGGGACAAGGGCAGCCCGCCAGCCTGGCAGACACCAGCAATCCCAGAGAAGACCAGAACCTAACGCAGGTTGACAGATTCGGTGCCCCTGGAACGTGCAGCCCCCCTCCTAACGAAACCCGCCATATGGAATTCTGCGCCTCGTCGACTCCAGCATCGATTTTCTACAGTCTGCAAGCTCTCGAGCCTGCGCAGCGCACTCCTGGAACAGGAGTTTAGAAGAATAAATCAGCTAAGGCAGCAGGTTTATGTCTCTGCCCTGTCCTCCCCACACCCCATCAGTGAAAATGCCAGCGTTCCCAGAAGCGTGGTGGGCACAGCAAAGCTTGGAACGAGGAGGCCCCCCGGGAACAGGGAGGGACGAGCGCAGGCCCAGCCCCGGGGGCTCACCCACCGTGGGTGAGGACTTGGGTCAGAGTTGTGGAGCTGGAGGCGGGTTCATTCATCTTAAAAGCGTGTCCCTGGGGCCTGTCTGTGCTGGGCTGTGCCAGATGCTGGGAGATTTGAGACAAATAAGACCCACTCCAGCTCCTCGGGAGCTCCGAGTCTGGCAGAGGAGTCAGCTCCATAAAAAGGCAATGATGGCGGTGACAAGGCACCGAGACAAGGCGAGGTGAGAGCCAGGGGAGGAAGCAATTCTCTCTCTGGGAGTCAGGGCTTCCTGGAGGAAGCGGGGCTTCCAAGCGGGGCTTCGAAGGCCGGATAAACGAGGTCGCCGGCAGGCAAAGTGTGGGAAAGAAGGAGCTTATGCCAAGGCATGGGGACAGGGGAATAAACACAGAAGGCACCTTCTTCTGCAGATCACAAGTCTCTTCTGTTGTTGGCGCAGGAGGGAAACAGAGGCAGCTGGTGAGAGATGAGGCCACACACACATGCAACCAGGGGCTGAAGGGAAGGTCCGGACTAGGAGAGAGTGGAAGCACTTCGGGGCAGCGTTAGGGTGAAAATCAGGTTTGGGATGTACCTGCAGTTAAAGACAGCACTTAGCTGTGTCAGACTGGCTAATAGGAAAATACCAAAAATGCTATTTCCGTAAGGCAGACGTAAACCTGCTGCCTTTGCTGACCAGCCTGTGCTTTGCACGAATGATCCCACTGAGACCTCAGGACAAGCCTAAGGGGTCAGAGTGATGCTTATCATATCTTATCTCACAGACAGAGGCCTAGGTCACACGCCCGGAATGTGGCGGTTGCCGGGGCGGGGGAGCGGGGGAGGGACGGGGAGTTAGTGTTTAACGGGGCCGGAGTTTTTTAGTCTGGGAAGATCAGAACACGCAGGCGATTGATGGTGGTGACGGCTGCACCACAGAGTCAATGTACTTAAGGCCACTGAGCTGTGCCCTGGAAAATGGTTAAGCAGGTACATGTTCGGTCACGTATTATTTTACTAGGATTTAAAAAGAAAGGCAGCCCTGGCTGGTGTGGCTCAGTGGATTGAGCACAGGCCTGTGAACCAAAGGGTCGCCAGTTCGATTCCCAGTCGGGGCACATGCCTGGGTTGCAGGCCAGGTCCTTGGTAGGGGGCACGTGAGAGGCAACCACACATTGATGTTTCTCTCCCTCTCTTTCTCCCTCCCTTCCCCTCTGGCTAAAAATAAATAAAATCTTAAAAAGAAAGAAAGAAAGAAAGAAAGGCAAAGGAAGGGCCCGGAAGCACGTAGGTGTTGTATCTTCAGCCTCGGGCAGGTGGGGAGGGAGGTCTGTGCTCCAAGGCCAGACCCGCTGCAGCCGCAGCAGCAGCAGCCGGAGAGGTGAACCCACCCCCAGGGGCTGAGGACCCGGCTGTGCTGCGCAGTGAGCTCCTGGGGGCAGTCTGACCGCCTTTCTGGGAAAACCGAGGAAGCTGGCTGATTCACAGATTTCCTCCAGCGGCTGCGTTCTGTGGTCCTGCCTTATTAGGAAGGCTCGACTCACACAGAGGGTGAGGTAAGAGGCACAGAAAAGCCCGGCCTTCATCACACTGGACACTTCTAATCCTGGGACCTACGACGGTGCGTCGGAAGAACGTGCCGGACGGGAACGAACCCCTCGAGGGTGCTGGCAGGGGGCAGATCCTGCACTCGAACTGGGTCCCCGAGGAAAGTTTACCCAGAGTCTGTTCACAAAGGTGCACGCAGAGCGTGGGGAACCCAAAGGGGGCGCTGGTGTGGGTGAGGGCACCCTGCAGGAGCCCACAGGGGAAGGTGCCTTTGGTTAGGACACCCCTTGCAGGAAGGGAGCTCGGGGGGAATAAATACCCAGACCTCTCTCCTCCCGCCCTCGGTCTCTTGCCCGGGCCTCCCACTGGCCGAACAAACGCACCAGGAACCCAGAGGGCAGCCTTGGGACCAGAGCAGGGTGGCAAGACCTGGCCAGGGAGTCAGAGGGGCCGATGGAGGGGCCGATCCAAAGCGAGTCAGCGCCAAAACTCCCAGCGGCGGCCTGGCCAGGGCTCCTCTCCTGGGTGATCCACTGAAGGCGGACCCGAGACCCAGCATCAGAGGCAGCCCTGGGCTCCTTGCGGCCTGGAGTGGAGCTGCGTGGTGTGCTGGGGAGAGCCCTGCCTCCTAGTGTGGGAGAGCACTGGCCAGGGCCCCGCACCTCCTGTCCCAGCGGTGATGTGTGCGTTCATTCCGTCGTTTGCTCAGCTCACCTCTCCCGAAAAGGACTCAGCGCCCAGCCCGGACTGGGAGGCACTGGGTGAAGTGTGGGGCGGCCCCGCCACCCTCGGCGGCAGCCTGTGAAACGTGCCTCCACCGGCCCTGGGAGTCTCGGGCCGCTCTCAGTGGCCTCCTCTGTGAGATGGGCTGGCCCACCATGGTTTCCCCCCAGAGTCCTCCTGAGAACTCAGAGAATGTTTTCTGCAAAGAGGGAGGGAGGCACGGCGCCTGGCACGGAGGAAGTGCTCCACCTCTGGGGACTAACGGCCTAGACCACCAGCACCCACGGGCCCCTCCTTCACTCCCCACCCTATTACCCTGTTTGAGGGAATTGTTGCGCTATATTATGTGGCACTTGTGCTTGTGGTGGGCTTTCTCTGGCTTCCTCCCTGTCTCTCAGACTGCACGCCCCGGAGAGGCCGCGGGTGTGCCCCTGCCCTTCCCTGAACCCCTAGGGCTCGGGGCTGGGTTTACAACCGGCAGCATTTACACATTGCCGGCGGCCTCTCGGGCACTTCATTGTGAGGACAGCCCTGGTCGGTAGGCAGTGCGACTCGGCCCATGTTCTAGACGAGTGCTGCGCCCAGAGAGGTGAAGCCACTCGTCCAAGGTCACAGAGCCGGGGTTTCAACCCGCGGGTACCGCCCTCACATACGGCGCCGGACCGCGACTCCTCCCGCGAGCTGGGCGCAGGCCTGGACCGAGGAGTCCAGCGGCGCGCGGACGGCGGAGGCGCGCGCGCCCCCTCCCCCGTCGCGGTGGCTGGGCGCGGGGACAAAGGCCCGGCGGAGGCCGGACGTGGGCCAGCCGGGCCGCGGCGGGGCGGGGGCGCGGGCCGGGCCCTTTAAGTGGGGCTGGCCGCGGCGCGGGGGGCGGGCCGGGGGCGGGCCGGGGGGCGGAGGCCTGGCGGGCCCGGCCGGAGGGCGCGCGGAGCGGAGGGCGGCGGCGGTGGCGGCGGCAGCAGCAGCGGCGTCTCGTGCTCGGCCCGGGCCCCGGATCGCGCTCGGCCCCCGGCTCCGGACCCGCGCCCCCCGCGCCCGCGCTCGGCCCCGCGGAGCAGCGGCCATGCCGCCGCGGCGCAGCATCGTGGAGGTGAAGGTGCTGGACGTGCAGAAGCGGCGGGTGCCCAACAAGCATTATGTGAGTGCCGCGCGGCCCCACGCCCCCTCCGGCCCCTGCCCGCCGGCGGCGGTCGGGAGCCCCCCCACTCCCCACCCCGGCTCTGAAAACTTCTGCCTCCGGCTCTGGCCCCCGACCCCCTCCTCGGCACCCCACCCCCGCCCGGCCGCCGCGCCGCCCGGGTCGCTCCCGGCCCCTCCCCCTCCTCTCGCTGCCCCGCTGCTGCCGTCCGGTTCCCATCCTCCCTCCTCGCCCCCCACTCGCCTCCGTGCGGCTCCTCTCACCCTTCCCACCACCCCTGGCGCCCCCACTCCTGTCCCACCCACCCACCCGCGGGAGAGTCTGCCCCAGCCGATGTGGGTAGGGGACGGAGAGACAGAGAGAAAAGGGGCGCCTGGTCTCAGGCCCCCCGCTCTGGGGCGCAGGCGCTCGGACCTCAGTGAACAGCCACAGGTAGCCAGCCCTTGCGGGGATCCCCAAGCTCAGTCCCGGCCTCCGAGAGGAGCCGGCCCGAGCGAGGGAGGAGGTCTCTGAGAACGGACCCTTTATGGGTGTCTGCATCTTCAAAAGGCTTAAAAAAAAAAAAAAAAAGAGTCCCTACCCCCTCTCTCCAGTGACTTCTGTTTTACAACGGGCGAAAGTTTTCTCCCGGTGTCTCCCTGTTTGGAATGGCAATCCCCTGTAGTGCTGGTGAGGACCTGAGGACACGGGCCAGTAAGCTGCGTTTTGCAGAAGGGAAGGCTGAGGTCCAAAGAGGCTGCAGGGTCTAGAAGGTGGAGCGGGGTCCAGGTCTTCCCTGCCCCTGGAAGGTGTGACTGGGCCAGACCGTGTCCTGCAGGTGGGAAACGGCTCCCTCAGCAGCCTCCGAGCTGAATCCGGGGGCTTCAAGGCGCCCTGGGACCATCTCAGAAGTTGGGGGTAGAGGGATCATGGGGCTGTGGGATGCGGGGCCCAAGGGAGGCCTGGGGGAGGCGTCCCTGCTGGAAGGAGCGGGGCCGCCGCGTCTCTGATGACGAGAAGGGGCCCGGGGCAGCGCCTGGCCGCGGGGAAGTTCACCAGGAAGGAAAAAAGAGCCAGAGGGAGGGAGAAAACCCTAACAAAGAAGAGGAGAACAATGAAGAGCAGAGGGCGTTGGCCGGCTAAATCCAGCGCCTTGGCCTCCCCGCAAGTCGCCTTTGGGTCTGTTTTCTTAAGAGGCTCCTTCTTATACAGCAGATCGCCATGCCCTCCCCGCGTAGCCTATAAAACCCTGCAAGGCGAGAGCTGGAGTCCACTCTGCACTCGGTTGGGAAGCGTGTGCTGTGTGAGTCTGTATTGTTATTGGCTGGGCAGCCGGTTATTCAGCCCTTAGCCAGGCGGTGGGGAGCTATTTCCTGGACCTGTGGCATCTTTAAATAGAGTGAAGTTTCCCTTGATTCCAAAACTAGGTTAAATTGTCTTTTTTTTTTTTCCTCCTCCTTCTCGCTCTCTCTCTCTCTCTCGCTTTCTTTTCTGTGAACTGTTTCAAATGCTGCCAAGTCTTGGTTTCTTGTTGGAGCCTGTTGAGTGTGGAACCGAGCTAGCAGCCTCTTTGGTATGCGACCGGTTCACCAACACGGCCACGGGCCACGGGCCACGGGCGGGTGTCTGAGGTGCCCCCTGCCGCCTCCCACCCGCTCCGTGAGCTGGCAGACCCAGCGCGGAGGCCCAGCCACCACGACCTGGCACCGTCCTCCGCTCGCTCTCTCCTGCCCTCTCCTGTCCCACACGGAGCAGGCAGAGAGGTTCTGCAGCCCACGTGACAGATGAGGAAACTGAGGCTCAGAAAGGGGAGGTCCCGAGCCCGAGGTCACCGTCAGGGGCAGAGCAGGGCTGTAAACCCAAGCCCGCTGGACCCCCAGAGAGGCGTCCCGCCAGACCACATCGCCTCCCAGGTCCTGTGCCCTCAGAGTTTCCCCGAGCGGCCGCCTTAGAGACCGGGAGTCTGCCACCCCGGGGGACCACCACCTGCGGCTTCCGCTCTCTGCTTGGCCAGACCCCTTTCTGCCGGTTTTCGAAGGTGCGGCCGTGCTGAGAGGTAACTTTCTAAGCTTTCTAGCACTTTTTAGGAGGCCGTTGAGACCAACCTTTAAATGTTCAAATACGGATTCGAGGTCCCATCTTGGTCTCATGACTTGCCGTGTGGCCTCTCAGAGTCTCAGTTTCCTCATCTGTAGGCTGGGGGGGACGGTGCCCACTCCCTAGGGGGAGGGACCATGTGACTGGCGGGGTGGGCTCTCCATAGCTGCTCCGAGCCTGCCTCCCTGCCTCGTGGTGTCCGTGTCACTCTGGTCGGGAACACGTTGAAGTCACATGGGGCGGGGTTTCGCCAAGAACTTGTTTTCCTGCATGTGGGTTTAGTCACCCGTGTGATTCAAGGTAGCCTCTCTCCCTCCTTCCGGCCTCTTCGGTTCATCGGGGGAAGAGGGGCACGGGTTGCACTGAACTTGAGTCATGCACGGCTGTGGGGCAGATTCACTGCTGTGCCGGCAGGGGATCGGGGCCCACCGGAAACTGCCAGTGGCCCCCACTGCTGTTCTGAAGCCGTGCCCTGCTGGAGGGAGAGGCCGTGCCCACCCCGCCACTCTGGGAGGGGTGGGCGTCAGGCAGCCCTGGGCACGGGTCAGGGCCTCCGTCCCACTTGGTGCCCTTCTTTCGGGCCCCGGCCCCGCCACCCTGGGGAGAGTGTGAGCAGATGCAAAGCCCCCTGTGTACCCTCCCCAACACTCCCCCCCCGAAAAAAAACCCCAATGGCCTGACTTTGCTGTTTGTCATTCCCACACACTTTTTGAAAATAGACACTTAGGGTTTTTTTTCCTTTAACAGCTTTATAGAGGTATAGTTTCCATACTATAAAATTCATCCATTATAAGGGCACAATTTGCTGATTTTTTTTAGTGGATCTATAGAGCTCTGCGGCCATCCCACCTTCCGGTTTTGTAAGGTTCTGTCACCCCAAAAAAGACCCCTCGCTCCACCTGTTTGTGACCGATCCCCTCTGCCTCCCATCCCATGCACCTTTGAATGTTTTTGCCTTTTTAACACTCCCCCCCCCCCCAAATCTTGTAGCGAATGGTTTAAAACTGTATAAAAACATTACGCTTTGGAGATCTCGGTTGCTCCTCTGGCTCCGGTTCCTTTTCACCGCTGGTTAATGTTCCGCGTGTGAATCCACTGGTGTTTATCTGGGCTCCTGTGGGGGCTCTCAGTCGTCCACGGTCACGGAGCTGCTTCCCTGCACATTTTTCTGGAGTGGGATTGCTGGGTCCTGGGTTTGCATTTTCACCTTTGGGGTTCTTGCTAACATTCTGAATGTTTGCCAGTCTGGGGGTGCAGAATGGTATCTCAGGGTGGCGTTTGCTTTTCCCACCTTTATGGGCCATTTGAGTTTCCTCTTCATTGAATTGCCTGTTTGATCTTTTTGTTTCCTTTTTGGGTATGTGGGGTTGTTTGTCTTCCATCAGTTTGTGCAACGTGTTTATACATTCGGGGCCCAGATCCTTCAGGGCATTGCGTTGGCATTCCATTTTCCCCTTGGGACTGGAGGCTCAGAGAGGTGGAGCCACCGCCTGAGGTCACACAGCAAGGAATGGCAGCGTGGGGACCCAGCTAGGTACCTCCGGGCCTGGGAGAGGTGGCAGCCCTGGGACCCCACCCCTGAGCCAGGGGACCTTCAGTGGGCCACTTAAGCTTCCGGACCCCAGTTCTGAGCCCATCCTGGCCCTTCCCTCGTCCCCTTGTGCCCAGCGCCCGGATGATGCGTGAAATGCAAGCAGATGCCATCCCTTCGTCATTCTCTGGGTCTGCTCTGCCTCTGCAGCGATGGGTTGGCAGCCCCTGTGTCGCCCACCCTGAAACCTCCCTCCTCCCCCGGCCAGGCTCGGAGAGCCCAGGGGTCACTGTTGTGAGCAGCCGAGAGATCTGCAGGGTAGGACGCGCCTTTTGTTAGGCATCACTGGTGATCTCCGCTGGCCCGTGGGAGGCCCCTGGCCGGCGAGCTCAGTGGTCTGGAGCAGACTGTCAATCTGCCGCCCACATGAGCTGCATCCTGTTATCCAGCCACCAGTTGCCTCGCCCCATCCGTCCCCGGCACCCCACTTTGCAGAAACACGCAGGACCGCAAACGCGAGTGGAGAGAACTCAGGCTTTAGATACGACTCATCTGGGCACTCGGCCCTCAGACTTGGTTTCCCTGTCTGTCTCTTTGAGTGCAGGGAACTCAAAGGGAGTTCCTTCCAGGACCGCTGTGCGCCTCTGTGCCCCCAGTCTGCGTTCCCCCCCTCCGGCTCCGGGGTGGGTGCCAGCCACGCGCACAGTTCGTAGGGCCCCCGTGACCTTCGGGATGAAAAGACCTGGCGTTGAGTCCTCCCCAGGCTCTCCTGAGCTGGGCGACCTTGCCGTCTGCGGTCTGGGAAAGGGAGGTGGTCGTCGTGATTGCCCGCGGTCCAGGGCAGCTGTGAGATGAACCGTTTTCACGCCGCACTGAGCGTGATGCCTCCTGCGTAAGAGGCGGTCAGGGGAGGTAGTCCTGGCGAGGACCGGTAATGATGACCGTAGCCGTGATCCAAGTCCCCCTGTCCCTTTCCTGCCCGCTGCCCTGGGCCATGCTGCGGGTTTCCCACAGACTTTCATTCCAGAAGCATTTGTGGAGTGCCTGCCCAAGCCGGACCTCCTGCTGCCGCCGGGGCAGACCTCGAGCAAGGCAGAGCCTGCCTACCTGCTCCGCAGGTGTGTTCTTGCCCTGGGCTCTGTCGGTGTCACAGAGAGGCGGTGCCCTCCGTGGGCCTGAAGGCCCTGTGGGTAGGTTTATTAAAAAAGGGCTATTGCTTTTTGTGATTGAAAAGCAGTGGCTCTCGTCCGCCAGGGTGCACCGTCCTGACCCCCTGGCCTGGGGGTGCCAGGGGCCAGGCCCTCCCTCACCTCACCTGGGGGACCGTCCTCCTCCGTGGCTGTCCCAGCCTGCTTCTCTTACACTCTCAGGGCTCCTGCAGCTGTCTCAAGGT